CTGTCTGGGAAGGGGGAGGGGAGGGGGGGGAGGGTAATTCTAAACTTGGCCGAGTCCCCTGCCAATCCCCAAACAAGAAGTCGTGCAAAGCCCGAAGCCTCAACTTCCGAATCCGTAAGCAAGCCCGAAACCTGAAGCTCCTAAACCTTCAGCTCCTTCCATCCCCAAAAAACACATTGTGCCCGAAGCCTACATACAAATGCGTACGGAGCTCTGGCAAAGCTGTGCAAAAGCTACCAACAAGTGCAGCTGACTACAGTTTCGGAAACGCAGTGCTCCAAACATGGTGTTTACTGTGGCGGGAGCGTCGTTGTTCCTTAGACCTTAGATAAGGGACACTGCTACACACTTTCGGCCCCTACTATGCAGCAATTCTCAATCATGAATATGCGTCTTCCGCGGGCTTTTTCCTTGCAAACATTGGTGTTTCCTGGGGCACTGGAGCTCTAACGGTGCTGTTGGAGTGCTTTCAAGGGCTCTCGGAGGTTTACCGCTTTGTGGGGTCTATGCATGATTGTTTCACGTGGTTTTGATAAAATAGATTTTCAGCTCAATGAATGCGCTTCTCAACTTCTTTGGCACCACTGCCATTCAACATGTTTGCCAACAAAGCCTACCTACAAGAGCTCGCGACAAACACATTACATGGCAAACGCTCGTAGACTGCTTGCAGATTCCAAAATCATTGCAGCTGCGTGCGCAGCTGGAAGAACGCGTGCGCAAATTGTGGATCACAAGCTACAGGTCCCACCCGCCACAATTCAGCCGTATATGAAATACTGGCATCCACAACCCTGGGAGAGTGTGGATTCGGTGCACCTAGGTCACGGAGGATGCTCCGCCACCATGCGTGGTGAAAGCCATACTGAAGGCTTTTGGCTGCCTGGCTGCAGCAGGCTGGCTCATGCCTCCAAAGCTACGGTTCATGTTCCGTGCCAAGATGCAGCCGTGGATCGGCTGCTCCTCAAGTGGATCAATATTGTTTGAAGCTGCACAGACAGGGTGCTTTTTGGGGGGCCTGGGCGATCCATGAAGGAGATCTTGTGTTGCGGCGCGTGTTCTATTTCCAAAGTGAGGCTTGGCTGGCCATGCGCCGCAGTGCGACCTTGTTCTGCGAAAGAAGGCGTGCAGCTGCGGCTGGAAAGACATGGCCGCCTTAATGGCATAATTTGGTGCACGATAGTCGATGCGGCCGACGCTGGTTCAACAGGGACTAATTAATTTCAGACTTGGCATGGGCATCAATCAGTCCCGGTCATGAACAATTCAATTGCTACTTGTACTTCATACACTCTATGATAGGTAGGCCGACGCATACCATCATCATAACGGTAAGTACAGCTGCTCATATCTGTGTGCTGTGACATGGTTAGATAACCGAGCCAAGAGGTACCATAGTGCAGGACTGCACAAGTGCAGACTGCACAAATGCATTCAATTCGTTTTCGTGCATGAACCTGCATTGCGCCGCCCTCACAAGGCGCGGTAGGCCATGAATTCGTTTTCAACTCTTCTAAGACCTCTCAGAACCCGGCCGCAGCAGTATGGCAGCAAGTCATTAAGAAAGCGGGGCGCCACAGGCCGGCGTTTTATTTTCACGGTTTAGAGTTTCAGTGTTTTCTTCTGCCTTGCGGGAGGCGTGTGGGTTCTTCTGCCTATATAGGCAGGTACGGGCCTTAGCACCCCCCTCCTCCCCCCCATATTGGTCTTCCTCTCCAAGCAACCATACACGCACGCACACACGCGCACACGCGCACACGCGCACCTTTCGCAATACACCAAATCCACTGCCCCTAAGTCTTTCAGGTTTGGCTTTGCTTTCGAATGTAGGAAATCCTAGGGGAGCCTCGCCCACTGGCGGGCTTGGCATTTACGGGTCATCACGTGTACCCATATCTCAGAAGTCTAACAATGCACTCAGGTCCGTGTCTAGATATTCGCAACTTATAAGTTATTTACAAGCCTTGTAAGTCCGATGATAACCGATGCTCTGCATGCCAGCCCCACTTGTCGGGGTTCCTCCACTATGAATGCTTCCCGAAAGGTGTCTCGGTAATCCATGACGCAGTTCTGGAACTTGCTGTCCAGTTGGCCGAAAGTTAAGACATATTGTTGTCCCTTACTCCTGCATGTAGCACGGTCGCATATGATCTTAGACTGCCGTGGGTTGCTGCTCTGGGGATTGCTTGGGTTGGACATCTGTGATGGAGGTGGGTCGGACATGGTCGGACCACTCCGTCACGCAATATCCCTTCTGTTGTCTGGATATTGCCCTCGTATGGAACTTTGAATGAAGAGCTGCTTACCCCTGAAGTGGTGTCATGTTGCCGAAAAATGTACACCAACTACAAAGGACATTCGTACCTTAGCCGGCATTTGTTGTTCGGGTTGGGAAAGACTGTGTATACGGACAACCCCAACGTTCTTCAAGACCTGATGGAAGCCACTGCCCAAGACTTCAAGTCTCTTTTTGAGTCTGGTGTGGAAATCAACGTCGGTGGCCGAGCCCAAACACTTTACGGAGCAATTGTTGCGATCAAAGGAGACTTGGACTTTCACACCGTTTATTTCAATCTGGAAAGAAGCTACTCGAAGGTAATGGTGAGAGGACGGGTGGGACACATCTGTCATTTATGTCATGCTGCAGCTGGGTCCTTCGATCCCAGTGCAGATTGTCCATCTTTCGAGGACTTCTCAGAGTCTCCACAATGGAGATCAAGTCTCTACAAGACCCTCCCGTGGCAACCTGAAGCAGCCCCGACACTTTCTCAGATCCCATTTGACCGGGGGGGGGCCCAGGAAAGGAGTTTGGTGCCAGATGTTTTCCACGTTGTTAAACTCGGCATTGCAAGAGATGTTGTGGGCGGCGTTGTCTGGGTATTGCTGAGAAAGTGCTTCTTCGATTTTCCAGGGGGCAGTAAAAATCTGGAAGCACGCTTGGAAAGAGCGTACATGAACTTTTTGCTGTTCTGCCAGGTTTCCCACGAAAAGCCGGCTCTTCGTGGATTTACCAAGCAGTTCTTTCACATCAAGAACCAGTCATCGGCACCGTGGGCCAACAGCAAGGGCTCGGATTCTCTTATCTTGATGCGCTGGCTGAGGTGGTACTTGAAGCTGAACATTCAACGCCCAAGTGTCCATGGTTTTGAGGTCTTGCTTTCGACAATGCTTCAGGTCTGTGAGGCGTGCCTAGAGCTTTTCGATCTCGTTCACGGACATAATCTGTTTCTAGATCGACCTTGTGCTACTCGAATGTACATCGTCATCCTTCGGTTTTTGCGAGGATACAAGCTGCTGGGTCAGAAAGTCTTACGCATGTTCATTCATGCTTTCGTTCTCAAGCCGAAAGGCCACTCGCTACACCACATAGCGCATTGCCTGCGCTCTGGGCTGGAAAGTGGTTCGGCTCTAATCATGAACCCTGAGGCTCATGCCTGTGAAGGTAATGAAGACTATGTGGGTAGGGTGTCGCGAGCCAGCCGGAGGGTGGGGGCAGTGCTGGTGGACAAGAGGGTCATCCGAAGTGTTTTTTTGAAAACGTGTGCTTTGCATCGCCGAAGGCGTGCTACATAGGATGGCAGGTGTGTGTGTTCCCAGATAGTTGACAAATGCCAGGGAATTCCAACCGAGAATCACATTGCATTCGCAACCTGCTATCTCGAAGCCTTGCAAGCCGGAACACTGAGCGACTGAGCGCTGCGCAAAAGGCCAGCATCAGCATCACCATCGATGCACCGAGCATGGAAGGGTCTATTGTAAGGGTTGATGGCTTTTTGGGAGGGTCTATTGTAAGGGTTGATGGCTTGTTTTCGGTGGCAAATGGCCTACATTCGGTGATGGTAACCTCTCAGATGATGTTAGTTGCTGCTTTGAGTGCTGCAACTTCAGCGGGGTTCACACTGGACAGTACATGTTCGAGCCCAAAGCCCCAAAAACGCCTCAAAAGCCCTCAGGCGGATTTCAGGGCCTCAGGCGGAGTTCTCGAATTCAGGCCTTAAAGCAGCCTGAAAAGGCTCAGGCTGAAATTGGCGCCTGCAGAGGGTGTAGGTAGACCCCACATCTGAATCTTCTAAAACCCCACAAGCTCAGTGGCGTTGTGCGCAGCCATGGCGACAAATGGATGCGAGAGCAGCTTCACGCAGACGTGCGCAGCCGCACCTGCGGCCTCGAGGCGTGGCCACAGAACCTCACCGCACGAATTCGGGACATTAGGGTTTTAGGGTTTGGGGTTTAGGTTTAGGTTTAGGGTTTTCTTGCCAACTTGCATGCTTGCCTCTACGTTGAGTTGGCCGAGTGTTGTGTTTGGCACGATGAATGGGGTATACAGCGCATGCCGCCATGTGTTCCAGCAGCATATCTGAATCATCCCAAACCCAGCAACATGATTGACCTGCGACTCAGAAGTTGCACTTTGCTTTCTGGCAAGCCAGGCACCTCAAGAGCGGTGATGGGATTCTCACCAACGATACGCTCTCACCTGAGTGCATGGACAAGCTTCAGCAACCTTTGCCAGCAGTGCAGGCTGAGTGCAGGCTCGCAATCAACACCCTGGTTCTTAGTACCCTTTAAGGGATCATACAGGGCCTTAGTTCCCTCATTCCCTACTATGAACCAGCCAGTCACCGCACGTAGAAGGGCTAGGAAAGTCCAGAGCGGGTGCAGGACTGCTAGAGTGTCCTGATTGCATATGGAGTTCCCCTTTTCTTTCCTTCTCAAATGTTCACTCCACGGAATCCGAGCAGTCTTGCACCCTTCCTAAGCCCCGCGGGGCGCTCGTTGCACGCCAGCCACCAGGGATTTGAAGCGATGAACCGGTGAACGCTGTTACACCCAAACACGAACCCCCAACCCCTGAACATCCCCATAAGCCCTTGAAGCGTTCACAGCGAGCCAGGCTCTTTGAAGATGCATCTGAATGAAAGTGTCTCGCGTTGCCAGCTGTCCAGGAATAACCCTTGTGGTGGTGAGCGTGTGAGTCTGAGGGCAGAGATTCCCCAGCCATGGAGCATGTAAAACCTGAATGGGAGCCATTGGAGCCACCACCTTCCCCGACGAAGTGGGCGACGTTCAAGGTGATGCTTTACAAGCATCTGAAGGTGGCCATGAAGCGGAAGAGGTTGCTCTCCAACGTGTATCTGGCCTTCATGTACTCCGGACTTGCCGCCGTCACGTACCATGGCCTCAACAAGATGGCCGAAAGCTTTGAGACTTGGTAGTAGAGTAGGTAACCTTTCACCTTTTTGGGGGTAATTAATGAAATCCCCTTATAATGTCCCAAAGGTTAAGCGTTAATTCCCCCAGGTTACTGGACAACTAAGGAAAGCATTGAAAGCCAGGAAGGTCATGAAAGCCAGGAGCTGTCCAGTCTACGGACTTCGATGCTGGTAATCCTGGTCCCGCTCTTTCTGCTGCTTGCAGCCCAAGGGACCCTCCAATCTGCGATCGTTGAGATTGTGGGGGAGAAGGAATCCAAGATGAAAATCATACAGGAGATCTATGGTCTCACAACAACGATGTACTGGCTGTCTTGGATGGGATATTTTGCAATCGTCTCCTGTGCAAGTATCTCGGTAGCCTACATCATGCTCACACTGGTTGTGCCAGTCTTCTCGAACTCTTCGCCTTTGATTGTGCTGCTCATCTTTTTCGCAGGTTATGTTCAGCAGTTGGAGTTTGCAGCCATTGTGAGCATCTTTGTTGACAGGCAGCAGACTGCTTCGATCCTCGCAGGGCTCGTGAATCTCGTCCTGATGTCGTCATTTGCGGCTTTGCAGGCATGGCTGAAAGGCAAGTCACGGGCAACATGGCTGGTGGCAAGCCTGCTTCCCACGGTAAACGTGGGCAACAGCTTCTCCACGGTACTGTGGCACGAGGCCCTCTACTCCTGCAATGATGAGTGCACTCGGGGCTTGAACTTCAGGTCGATTTTTCAAGAAGAGCTCTGTGCCACGCCCTACTCACCCAGCGAGCCATGTCAAGATCCCACTGTAATCTTCCCGGCTGGCTACTCTTTGATGATGATGTTGGCAAGCGTTCTCATCTACTTTGTCTTGGCATGGTGGCTTGAGCAGGTTTGGCAAGGTGAATTCGGCCAAGCCAAGGCCCTCTCTTTCTGCCTGCGTCCCGCTTATTGGGCCTCTTGGTGCAAGGAGACCTCACGTAGGTGTGTGGAAGATGCCCCGCCTACCCTGTGCCTGCGCAAGCTCCACAAAGCCTTCGGGGAACAGGTGGCTGTGGACAGTATTGATCTGGACGTTCGCAAGGGTGAGGTTTTCGCCTTGCTTGGGCACAACGGAGCTGGCAAGACAACGTGCTTGAATTGCGTGGTTGGCTTGACATCTGTGACCAGTGGTGGTGTGACAGTAAACGGCTATGACATTTCTACACAGCTCACAGAAGCACGGAGGCAGATGGCCATTTGCCCACAGGACAACCCGCTATATGATGTCTTCACAGTCCGAGAGCACTTGTACTTTTTTGCTTGCTTGCGTGGTGTCGACAGGGACTTTGACGGGATGATTTGTCAGCTTCTCGCCGAGCTTGGAATTGAGGAGAAAGTGGATGACTTGTGCACCACGCTGTCGGGCGGCCAGAAGCGGCGCTTGTGGGTCGCCACGGCGCTGCTCGGGGAGACGCCGCTCCTCTTCCTGGATGAGCCGACGAGCGGGATGGATCCTGCCTCAAGGCGCAAGCTCTGGCGGCTGCTCCTGCAAGCCAAGTCCGTTGGAAGGGCCGTCCTTTTTACCACCCACTACCTGGAAGAAGCAGATGCGCTGGCGGATCGCAAGGCCGTCCTTTCGCGTGGACGAATCCAGGCATGTGGCACATCCCACGACCTGAAGATGCAATTCGGGGTCGGCTACCACTTCGAGGTCGAGTTTGGTGGTAGCCCCAGCCCAAACCAGCTGCAACTGCTGTCAAGGCTCGTTCAGGAGCATGTGGCCGGTGCGAAGCTGGAGATGGGCCGAAGCTTAGCGCAGAAGGTGTCCTACTCTCTGCCCTTCCACCAGATCTCCAAGTTTGGGCCTCTTCTTTTGGAAGTTGACAGGCACAAGCCCATCCTGGGATTCGATGCCTACAGCATGTCCATGACCTCACTTGAAGAGGTATTTATGCTTCTGGGTGAGCAGGCTGAGCAAGAAGAGGCGGGAGCTAGATGCGGCGAGGACGTCGACGAGGATGAGGCAAGCGAGAGCGATACTGACAGCGACGCTGAAATCCACGTTGTTGAGCAGTCAGAGTTCCGAAGTATGCAAGCAATGGCATGCCTAAGGCTGCTTCTCATTATTGGGGATCGGAGAACCGCAATAAATGCATTGTTGGTGCCCGCCATCCTCCTGCTCTATGGCCTGAATCAAGGTGCTGCTTCCTTTCAGCTGGCCTTCTGCTCGGCCGCCGCGCTCACTCTACCACTTTCAGTCTTCTCTGCACAGATCCTCCGGGACAAGTCCCAAAAGTGCAAGATCACCGCGATCTCTCAAGGGCTCTCAGTACGAGCTTACTGGTTGGGCACGCTGGCAGGACGCGAAGAAAATAGTGGAAGACCTTATTAAGCCAAATTTTCACTTCACCCTTCCCCAAAGCCCAAACCTCTTAAGAGCCTCCGGCTCAATCCACCGACCAGGGAGCCCAAGTCGTAGAAGAAAGCAACAAGGGGTAAGCGAAGACGCACCACGAAGCAAAACAGGCGCATCTGGAGCGAAGACGCGCCACTCAGCAAAGCAACCGCACAGAGCAAGCGAAGACGTGCCAATAAGCAAAACAACCGCACATAGTACGTGATGACACACCAAAAAGCAGAACAACTGCTTTTATGCATCTTATTAGTAAGCGAAGTTGCACCACTAAGCAAAACAACCACACATAGCAAGCGAAGTCGCGCCAGCAAGCAGAACAAGCGCATCTAGAGTGAGAGCGCACCACAAAAGCAACTGCATATACATCATATAGGCGAAGACACGCCACTAAGCAACACATCCGCACAGAGTAAGCGAAGACGCACCAATAAGCAAAACAACCGCACATAGTAATCGAAGACACACCAATAAGCAAAACCACTGCATATACATCATATAGTAAGCGAAGAAGCACCAATAAGCAAGACAACCGCACATAGTAAGGGACGACGCACCAATGAGCAAAACAAGCGCATCTATAGAGCGAAGACGCACCACTCAGCAAAACAACCGCGCATAGCAAGCGAAGAAGCACCAATAAGCAAAACAACTGCATATACTTCTGTAAAGCATGTCATGACCAAAAAAGAAAAGGCCAGAACCCAGCGTTCTTCAGGGGGGTCCCAGTTTTGTTCGCTATGCTCTCTGCCCCGCCCCACCCAGGGTGGGGGGGAGGGGGGGGGGGATGGACTGGATGCGAAAATTTGTCTGAGGGAGGAGACTAGTTGTTGGTCTGCTTGTCCCATAGGTGTTTCAGCCGGAGGCTGAGGCGAAGTAATCATAGCAATACGAGCTGGTAGGATTACTAAGGACATCATGGAACATCAGCAGTGCTAGGAGGCAGTGGCAGAAATATTGATGCCCCTCCCCCGCGTCCTCGCTCCCTGCGGATTTAAGAAGAACTCTCGCACTGCACCCTCCTGGTAGGACATTATGCTGTCCTTTCCCTGATCGTTGCCATCCTTATCATGGCAGTACAAATTTGCGGAGTTCCGATTCTGGATGGGCCCGGCTTCCCGCTCTTTTGCATGCAAGCCGCATTGTATCCTGTTGGGTTGCTGCTCTATTCGTACAACGTGTCACTGTTGTTTACCACCGTGGAGTTTGCTTTGAAAGTGCTTCCTCTACTCAACGTCTTTCTGGTGTTTGTCCCAGTGGGTGCCGTGTCCTTGTTGTGGAGACTGCCTGGCACTTCGTGGCAATCCGCGGCCAAGATCACGCACGTCCTGATGTCGATCTTCAACCCAGTGTACCCCCTTCCGGGGCTCATCGTGACCATGACCTCCGAGATGCCTTGGTTTGAATACTTCCGGTCCTGGCCGGGTGCTACACTCTACGGTTCCATTCTGGCATGGTCTGTGTTTGGGAGCCTCCTGCTGTGGCGTGATGCTCGCAGCTACACGGCAAGACCAGGACACCTTGAGGACTCTGCAGACTTCAGCGACTTGAAGGACGAGGACGTGTTGGAAGAAGAGGCCCAAGTTGCTGCGCAAGACGACGGAACTGAGGCCGTAAGGTACCAATCTCTGTATCATACTTACAGGACTCGTGTGAACAAGGAGTGGAAGGAGACGCCCGCAGTCCGCGGCATCAGCCTTCGTGTGCACCGTGGCGAGTGCTTCGGCCTTCTGGGACCGAACGGAGCTGGCAAGACCACGACTCTGGGTGTACTGACCGGGGAAATTCGGCCTCCCTCGGCTGGTCAGGTACACATCTACGGCCATGACGTGACCACAGAAGAGGGACGGGTGGAAGCCTACAAAGAACTTGGGCTTTGCCCACAGATAGATCCGATCTGGGAGAACCTTTCCGGTCGAGAGCATCTGATCTTCTACGGCCGTGTAAAAGGGGTCCCAAGCAAAGTCCTCGAAAGAAGGGTCGAGGAGCTCCTGCGCCGCCTGGGCTTCAGCGCAGACGACCGGAGCAAGGCCGCCGGGGCCTACAGCGGCGGTATGAAGCGCAAGCTCAGCTTGGCCATCGCCCTCCTGGGGCGTTCCTCTATCAATCCCTTGGGAATTGTTTTTTTTTGGTATCTTTGTTCAGGTAAAAACCCCAGAGGACATTAAAGACATATTGTTTTTGGTGAGGTTCTAAGGGGGAGTAGAGGTTCCTCTCTGCTGTTCCTGGACGAGCCGTCAGCAGCAGTCGATGCTGTTGCGAAGCGACACCTCTGGAAGGTGATCCGGAGACGCGACCGAGACCAAACCGTGGTCATGACCACACATTCTATGGAAGAAGCTGAAGCGCTTTGCGATAGACTTGCCATCCAGGTTTCTGGTCAGCTGCGCTGCCTAGGCACGCCCTTTCATATTAAGGACAAGTACGGCTGCGGATATCAGCTGGAGATTTTTTGCCACCGTCCGACCAGTGAAAGTGCCTGGCAGATGCAGGCGGAAGCTTTGCAGGCTTTTGTCTTGTCAAGAATCTCATCCAAAGCGAAGCTTTTGGAGAACCACGCGGGAAGGTTTTTGTTTCAGCTGCCTCCTGCCGGCCATGAAGGTCTTTCGCTCGGACAAGTCTTCGTGGCAATGCAGTCCAGCAAGCAGTTCCTTGGCATCTCGGACTATTCATTGATGCAACCATCGCTGGAGCAAGTGTTCGTTCGCTTCGCGAAAGAGCAAGAGGAGGCCACGCAAGACGGCCAGATGCAGGAGCGTGAGGACATCTTCCAGCGCTCCGCATCAAGTGCAAGCAGTTCATCTGACAGCGGTGCCAGTAGGTAGGCAGCACTGAGCAGGCAAAGGCCACTCGGCAAGTCAAAACAGGGAAAAGGTAAGTAACCCGTGAAATCGCGCCGACGCTTCTGAAGCCCCAAAAGCTCTAGCCAAGTACTTCGCCGAGGACCAGCACGGCCTGACGCGGTCTCAGGTGGGATGAGTCCGAAAACAACTGGGTCCCCATTGTCAGGATTTATCAAGGGCACACCCAGCGCCCAAGACCCCAGTCTTCGTCTCACCGAGGTTGCTATGAGGGTGCTTTTGCAAAGCCCTGCGCAGTAGCATAGTAGGACCAGTCCAAATCCGTCCGAGCAGGTGGACGTGTCTTGCCACACCTTTGTGCCCGGTCTGCCAGAGACGCCCAGGAGCCACAAGGGGAAGGATTCTGGATTTTTCTGGCTTCAGAAACACTTCCGGAGGCCCCAGAACATTTCGTGTCGAGAGATCATACCCCTGTGCCCCAGCTACGCAAGAGTTGTCCAAAAGCAGGTTGAACTTCAGCCACGTGCTCGTGTACACTCGCTCAGCGCTCGTGGAGCAGATCCTTGGGCCACCAGCAGCAGAATTTATTCTTTTTGGGTATATTGCACTAGGTTAGTAGATGTGTCGTACTTCGCACGCCGCAAAGCCCTGAGCACCTAGCTGGGCTTTTGGAGTTAGGACGACACCAGCGGCCAGCTGGTGGCCGAGGCCCCAGTGCTTCGAAACCTCACCTTCCCCGACCCCCCGGCACCGAGAAGGTTCAGGGAGGGCTCCACGTCTCGCGCGGTTTGTTTCGACGCTGCACGCGCGGGTTGCGTCTGAGGTGCACGCGGGGTGTCTATACAGAGGCCAAAAACACCGCAAAACGCAGCGTTTTGGAAGCAGCTGCAAGCACGTTCATCTTCATTTTGTTGTCCTTCCTTTCCACCCCCCTGTTCTTGAGCATCATGCCTCATGTCTATACCATGTTCGTTATCGACCTCATTGTCACACCCCCCCCCCGCCCCACCCCCCCCCCACCCCGCCCCATCCACCCGAGTGGATGCTGTTGTGGTGTGGCGTGCTGCACACAACGTCCACCCCCCCCCCCCCCCAAGCTCTGAAAAAGTGTGTGTGTGTGTGTGCGCCTTAGATGCAAAAAAAAAAAAACACAGTGTGCGCCTTAGAGGCGCGGACGCCGTGCGCCTTAAACAGTCCTGCCGTGTGAGGGACAGGTTCAAGCAAACCCTAAACCCTAAACCCTAAACCCTAAACCCTAAACCCTAAACCCTGAACCCTGAACCCTGAACCCTGAACCCTAAACCCTAAACCCTAAACCCTAGACCCTAAACCCTAAACCCTAAACCCTAAACCCTAAACCCTAAACCCCTGAATTAAGTTGAGGGAACCCTTGTGGGCAAACAGCACGGCGCTTTGTGATTCATTGAAATTCCGGGATCGTATCTGAGATGACCCAGGGCATAAATTTTCAGAAGGCCATTCCAATTGGACCTTTTGTCTTCAATTCCCCAAGAGCGACCAAGGACTTGGACTTGGATGCTGATGATCTTGGTGGAACACTCTCCTGGTCTGCCAGCAGCTGGGCCGCACTTTGGCGGAACCATCTCATGGGTTGAGCCCGCCGATACGGGGACTGTTGAGGGAGAGCCTCGCCGCTGCCTCTTTGTCTGTGGGAGATTTGGGACGGTTTATAGGTTATATATGTACCCGTATTGAGTTGAAGAGTGCCGTATAAGTGGTCGCAGTCTCTGCAACATGTTCGTTTGGCATTGGGTTTTCAATGTATATAAGCTCCAAAGCTGGAGGTGTTGCTGCGACAACCTGCTGTGATAAGGTCGACAGGGACTTTGATAGATCCGGCCAGGCTCTCAAGGAAATCTAAACCATGCAGCTGTAGGATGTGTTTGCGGGATGCGGTTCTATCACGTTTCCGGCTGTGCCTTCTAGCGAGATTCATGAAACATCTCACTTGATTGGCCTGCGTTCCCAAGGCCTCTCTGAGCTCTCCTGAGAGTCTCCTGAGGATGCCCAGCAGATCTCGGGCACAGTCTGGTGGATGCCGCTGAACGAAACTGAGGTCGGGTGTTGTGGTGTTTGCAAGACCCTAGGGAGCAATGGCAGTTAAGCAGCTGTTCAGGCATGCGCAGGCACGCGACGAAGCCCAAACTGTACCTGGTTAATGACGGCTCTTGAGCCAGATGGTTGGCTGTTGAGTTGAAACAAGTCGTCGTCGTAGCTGTCGTAGCTGTCGTAGTAGCAGCAGTCGTCGTCGTAGAATTGGCTTCTCGATGATAAGAGATTTGACATGATTTGTTAATCAACGCCCCACCCCCCCATCCCGGTGATGTGGTTGGCCAGGTTCTTCTGTGTGGCACGCCAAGCCGCAAGCCGGACTCCAAAGACATCCAAATCCAAAGACATCGCGTCCAGCATGTTTCAGTTAACACTCACGCGATCCACGGCCCAGGTACAGTTAGCAGCCCGCCTTCCTGACCGACTGTACCTTGGTCGAGATGGGAAACATGGCATGGTGGGGCACGGTTGGTAGCAGACGGTTTGCAACAGCGCTTGGCCAGGCAGTCGTTGTGGAGCTCAGCTACGCATCGTGGATGTGCCGGGCTTGGAGCGTAAAGTTTACGCCAAGCTGCAGGGTCGAGGAATCACAGCGCGAGTCAGAACAGGGAAGCGTTCTGTGCATCTCTGAATCAAGGATGGTCGGGTTAGCTCGCGCGTGCTGCATCTGCAGCCCGCATCTCAGAATGCGCTGTGAAAGCCATGCTGCGCCCATCTGTGCCCAACAGATCTGGCATCGGCCCTGAGCATTCCCGTACAGCTGGCCACGAGCACGGTCAGTCGCTAGCTTTGCAGCAAATCGCAGCTTCATGATTGCGCCCCTTCCTCAGCTGCTGCTCGTTCATGTTTTCTGAGGCAGGGTGCTGGTAAGGTCCTTCCAATAGTTCTGAAAGAGGGTGTGCGATTTGTTGAGATTGCTTGGTCACTGGTCAAGCCCACGCTCACAGACCCGACCTTGACGCGGCAGATACAGCAAATTTTGGTCAGGTCAGTTCAACATGTGCATTTCGGCTCATTGAAACCGCACTGTGACAGTACCGGTGAGGCTTCCTGAGTTCTTCGACCGCCCTTCGACGACCCCGGCATGGTGACTGCAAGAAACGGATATTTCTCTCCTCTCCGCGCAGATCATAGACCCCTTTCCTTTCGCTTCGCTGGCGCGCCCGGCAGACTTGCTGGAGGACGGGTCTGGACGGCTTGCCGCGCTTGTTGGAAGCCTCTCTTCAGGCACAAGGATCGTCACAACCCTAAACCCTAAACCCTAATCCCTAGACCCTAAACCCTAAACCCTGAACCCTAAACCCTAGACCCTAGACCCTAAACCCTAAACCCTAAACCCTAAACCCTAAACCCTGAACCCTAAACTCTAAACCCTAAACCCTAAACCCTAAACCCTAAACCCTAAACCCTAAACCCTAAACCCTAAACCCTAAACCCTAAACCCTAAACCCTAAGCCCTGTCAGTCCTTCACAAGAAGCGACTCCTTAGACTCAGCAGGAGAGGCGGCTGAAGGTCGTCCGCCTGAATGACGAGGCATGGGAGACAACGTGAACACTATTTGTTTTTTGCACGAGTGTAGGGTTGTATCATTGTATTGTTGTAGTAGGACTGTATGTATTATTGTATTATGATCTGTGTGAACATGTGTGACACGTGCGAGCGCCTGTGAGCGAGGTCGTTAGCTTTCAAGCAGCATTGGCTGAGCAAACCTCAGGACAGACAGGGTTGCAGGGACGCGCACGGACTTGCATGAACAGACATCGAAAGCCCCGAAACCTTTGCGCTTCTTCCTCGTCTGCTGCCACGTATGTCACGAAGGCATATGCAATTCATGTCGATAGTCCTTTTCAGGTGACTTTCAAGGTTTGGTGGTGCATTTGCGGCTTCATCCGCCAGACATTCGCATGAGAGGTCGGAGAAGCTCTCAAGTCACAGGCAAGCTGCAAAGCAACCAACTCTCCGACTCAACCAAGCCAGCGATATCACCGCTACCTTGAAAAGATTGCAGGGGGGGTAAGGGGGGTTAATGATTGCAATAATTCTGCAATCATATCCGCTTTGGAAATTGATATGACTGTGAGCGGGCGAAGCCGTTGCCGAAAACAGTCCCTGGAATTTGCTATGACTGCGAGCGGGCGAAGCCGTTACCGCAAACAGTCCCTGGAACTTGCTATGACTGCGAGTGGGCGAAGCCGTTACCGAAACAGTCCCTGGAATTTGCTATGACTGCGAGCGGGCGAAGCCGTTACCGAAACAGTGGAATTTGCTGTGATTGCGAGCGGGCGAAGCCGTTACCGAAAGCAGTCCTTCATTTTGCTATGACTGCGAGCAGGCCAAGCCGTTCCCGAAAACAGTCCCTGGAGTTTGCTATGACTGCGAGCGGGCGAAGTCGTTAACAGAAAACAGTCCTTGGAAATTGCTATAACTGCGAGCGGGCGAAGCCGTTACCGAAAACAGTCCCTGGAATTTGCTATGACTGCGAGCGGGCGAAGCCGTTACCGAAAACAGTCCCTGGAACTTGCTATGACTGCGAGCGGGCGAAGCCGTTACCGAAAACAGTCCCTGGAATTTGCTATGACTGCGAGCGGGCGAAGTCTTTAACCAAAAACAGTCCCAGGAATTTGCTATGACTGCGAGCGGGCGAAGCCGTTACCGAAACAGTCCCTGGAATTTGCTATTGCTACGCGGGGGCGAAGCCGTTACCGAAAACAGTCCCGGGAATTGGCTATGACTGCGAGCGGGCGAAGCCGTTACCGAAAACAGTCCCCTGGAATTTGCAAAGGGGGGGTATGAGAAGCCATACCTTCAAGGCAGGAAATGATTGCATGAGGGGGGGGTTAAGGGTATAATGATTGCAAGAGGGGGGGGTGTTAAAGTTTACAGTGAGGGGTGATTCCAGCGATGGTAGCAACTTTCAGGTACGGGCCCGCTCCCCAAGACAACAGTCGTG